GTAATAAATAACACAGAGTTGAAATTTCCTTGTAGGCTGATCTACTATTTAATATAACTAATGTAGCGCCTGCTGAGTCATTAGTTAATTGCCTTGAAATCGTAAGTTCATCTGTGTTTACTAATGATTGTTCTACGCTTGCTTTGAAATCATTGTATAAATTGTGGTTATCATCTTTCTTTGTGGTGTTTTCATTGTCACTTATATCCATGTTTACTAATTCATTAAAAACTGAGTCGTTTTGAAGTTGGTCAGTTCTCAAATCGCTTGTTGTTTATTTTTGTTCGGGTTGTCTGCCCTGCATTCTTTGTTGCTGTCGCGTAACGACTGCAACTACCTGCTCTTGTTCTACCGACGTATGTTGTTGTTGATTCTTAATGTTTACGTTACCTTTTTCAACCTTACAACGTTGTAACCTTGATTGCCCCTGACAATAACTTGTTGGTTGAATCTGGTTGATGTTTTTGTTTTCCTGCGTGCATGGTAGCCTTGACAAAAAGTCTGCTACAATGTTCTCTTTCCCTTGTTTGTAGCGTATATCACATTTACGACCTTGCAGCTTAAGTCGCAGTCTTGTTAATGTGGGCGACGTTTCCTTTAACCGCCAAATTGAAATTAGAGGCCTGTGATCTGTGTAAACAATGAATTTTTGATCAAATATAAAATGTCTAAAATAGTCAACCGCCCAAACGATCGCTAATAATTCTTTCTCGATTGTGTGATATCTACTTTCTGCTTTCTGCTCTGCTTGCAAAGGCGATCGGTCTATCGACAGTTTTCTCATTAGATAACACCGTTCCTATCGCGTAATTGCTAGCATCTGTGGTGATGACAAATGTATCCTCATAATTAGGCCTTACTAACAAAGGTTCAGATATGAGGCATGTTTTAAGCATTTCAAAAGCTTCCTCACATTCACGTGTCCATACAAATTTTACATTCTTCTTCAATAAATCGTTCAAAGTTTCCTGTACTTTGCAATGTTTGGAATGAATTTTCCATAAAAATTAATTGTACCTAAAAATGACCGAACATCTTTCACTGTAGATGGATTTTTCATCATTTGTATACTTTCTACATTTTCTTTGGTTGGTTTAATACCATATTGATTTATTATATGAACAAGATATTTGATTTCTGTTTTCAAAATTTTGCTTTTTACCGGTTTCAATTTTAAAATATGTCTGTGTAGTCCTTGCAACACTTTATATAAGTTTTCATTATGTTCTTCGATTGTTCTTCCTGAAATGATGACATCATCCAAATAAACAACGGCTCGAACATGTCCGATCTCGTATAGTACCGTATTCATTAATTTTTGAAAAGTCGATGGGCTATTCCTTAATCCCATAGGCATTCTTGTAAATTCAAAGTGTCCTTTTGAGGTTGAGAAGGCTGTTTTAGCGGCATCTTTTGGATCGATTGGGATTTGATAAAATCCTGATTTTAAATCCAATGTTGAAAAATTTACACTATCTCCAAGATTATCCATGATTTCATTGATGAGTGGAATTGGATATACAAAAGGCTTAGTTATCAAATTTAAACCCCATAAGTCCACTACAATTCAATATTTCTTATTTCCAGCTGCAATCAAGTCCTTCTTTGGTATACACAAGACTGGTGCATTCCATGGGCTTTTACTTGGTCTGATGATACCTTGTCTATACATTTCTTCGATTTCTTCATTAATTTGCTTTTTTGTTGCTTCTGGGAACCTGTATTGCCGTTTATTAATGGGTACGTTCGTTGAAGTTTCTATTTCGTGCACTGCCGCATCTGTGTGGGTTAGTTTATCACCCTCAAGAAAAAACACATCACTAAAATTACTTAAAATTGATTCAATTGATTCTGAATCGCTTCGTGATAAATGATCAAGTTTGATCTGTTCGAAGATTTTATTATATCGTTCGTGTCCTTGAAGCATTTTAATATTTTTGTATTTGACAATATCGTAGTCTATGTCAGCATTTAAGTCCAACATTTCTCTGTCGTCATATTCACTTCCTTCTTCATTATATTCTTCATGATAAAAATCTTTTTCCAATCTATTTCCATTCCATTGAATGTAAGATATACGAAATTAAACGTCGAAGAATTAATGGTTGAAATACTGAAGTGGATTTTATTCATGAGTTAACAACGCAAATACAAAATGGAAACTGAACTTGTTAGAGCAAGTCAATAATGGTTCTCATTTTTTACATCTAGGTGGGTCGTTGAATACAGTGTTGCCAGCGTGACTGTAAAGTATAGCGCACCACAATAACTCCCCCTTCCTAGAAAAATTCCTACTGAATCCGAAAACGCACGTGATGCCCGCTTTTGGTTATCCGATCAGATGAGGAATCTGAATCCTTGTTAATGTAGGCTGGTTTAACTCTATCGATCGATACTGACACTGTTTTGTCCTTAATATAATGGTAAATGTCTTACTGCTTACTACTCAATCATCCCGTTGGCTTGTGGATGGTATGGCGTGGTGTGAACTCGTTCTAATCCCAATAAGACGCACAACTCTTTCATTAGGTGCAACTCGAACTGTCGACCTTGATCCGACGTCAGCTTCGTTGGGGTTCCGAATCTCGACACCCACACCTCGATGAAAACTCTGGCGACGGTTTCTGCAGTCATATCGGGGATAGCCAACTGCCTCCGGCCATCTACTGAAGGGGTTTTCCTGTTTCTTAACAAAATCACTGTGGTCGATTGTAGACGGTAAGCAAATTGCTTCTATTCTTGAGAGGACGTCTGCAGGGACATTTTCAGCGCCGGCGACATGAACCAAGTCCGTCGTATATTCACTAATAAAACTCAGCAACCGCTGCTGCCTTGGCGATGGTTTGTTTGCATCTTGTTTAAATGCGAACGTTAGTGGTTTATGATCCGTGAAGATTATCGTATCGCGCCCTTCAATTACGTCTTTGAAGTGTTTAACGCCGAGATAAACTGCAAGCAGCTCCCTATCGTAGGTTGAGTATCGTCGTTCACGGTCACTAAATTTAACAGAAAAATAACCTAACGGCTTCAAGGTGTCTTGCGATCGTTGCTGCAACACGGCTCCGGCTCAACCATCAGTGACAGCTGAGCATTCGGGTCATAGTAATCGAGCGCTGTGGCCTCTGTCAGAGACCGTTTACATTCTTGGAAGGCAGCATCAGCTTCGGAGTTCCATATGATCGGTGTTTTATCGGTTATTAGCTTGCGCAAGGGTAATTGAGCTTCAGCGGCGTGTGGAAGAAATCGCCGATGGTAATTTACTAAGGCTAGGAAGCGCCTTAGCTTTTGCACCGTATCCGGCTTAGGGTATTCTGCAACTGCAGAAACCTTTTCCGGAACCGTTGTACAGCCAGCGGCAGTGATTAGTTGTCCCACGAATCGTACTTTTTCTTTCCCTAACTGACACTTGTCAGCATTGATCTGAAGCCCATTTTCTATCAGTTTTTCGAAAACCAATCATAGGTGTTCCTCATGCTCCTCTTCGGATGATGAAGCGATAAGCAGATCATCTAGATATCCCACTAAGAATGGCATGTCAAAGAAAATATTGTTGATAAATCTTTGAAATGTTTGACCTGAGTTTTTTAATCCTGGCGGCATCACTAGAAATTCATACAAGCCCAGTGGCGTGATGATGGCTGTTTTTCCGACATCATTCTCGTGCATAGGAATTTGATAGTACGCGCGTTCAAGGTCAATCACAGAAAATACAGTCTTACCTCGTAGCGTTTGACAAATATCGTAAATATGTGGTAAAGGATACCCCCTGTCCAAGGATGAGGGGCTTGATGATGATTTGTCAAGTGTCGCTATTATTTTTTTATTTGCAATTTGTTAAAATTGTAGTTTTTCTCCAGTTCATTGATTTGAAAGGTTCATGCGAGTTAATTTCACGGAGCCGTAAATTGTAGTTTTAACATAATTATAATAGTTATTTTAAATTCGCTTTTGTAATGCTAAGGTAAATAGTTTGCTTTGAGTGTAAAGTTAATTTATAAGAAAGTTCTAACAGTTTTTTTTTGCACTTCGAAACTTAACGGGTCTTACCTCTAACATAGTAGCAGTGACAGTGTCGCATGTCTTAACAACAACTGCCTGCGACTAGTGTTCGAGGGACCGACAGGGCTCAATACGGGTCAATACTAACAAAACTCTAACACTAACATGACCCCGAAACTAACGTTCATCCATTGCACTAATAGTTATAATGTAGTTGTACTTTCCTACTAACCCATCTATCACAGACAAACATACATAACACTCGCAGGTTGTTCATCGAATACGCATTTGACGGTCAATTTGAGTGTTTTTGGTTGGCACCACCATCTGTGGCGCGCACGGTTGGTTCCCTTGCGTTTGACGTCTGCACACTAGCGCCATCTGTTCAGCGTACTATCCATCACATGATACTCAACAGATGGCGGTAGTGTTTTAGTGACTATGTTTTGTGGAGAGAAATATTAAATGTGTTATTTCTGTTTGTCTGTGCATCTATGTTAATGTAACCAATACTAATACCTTTCTCTCTGTTCTTTTATTCGTTTTCTATATCCCTTCACCATCACCCCATATCCCATCATTTTGACGAGAGATGAGTTACTTGTATGGTGCATGCCCAAGTCGTACTACAGGATAATATGTTGAGCGTGGTTCTATCACACAAACCACGCAGGAACGCAAATCGAGAGAGCTGAGGAATAATGAGGTAAATTCTACACAGTATTTTAAAGGAGCCAACTCTAAGCAGGTAAGGGGCTGTCCATAAACTACGTAGACAGTTTAGGGGGGGGGGTTGACAATTATCCACGGCCCATACAAATTTAAAAATTTTTGTATGGAAAATTGTCTACGCAGGGGGAGGGGGGGATCAAGAATCCCAAAAAACTGTCTACGTAGTTTATGAACAGGCCCTAATAATAGCAATTAATAATCAAACAACCATAAAAAGGTAAGAATGAATTTATTTATTTTAAATACAGTAATGACCCGATTTTGTCAGCCCCTCCGCGCTTCAGATTTTTTTCTTTCAATAATTTCACAAAATCATAAATCTAAATTTTTCTCATTCGTCATTCGTTAAGAGGGATATTTAAAGTATACTTTGGTGCAATAGGTTCAAGAAGATTACTGGAAAAGGGCATGGGTTTTGTAGAACATTGGAAAACATTTTCAAAAAAGGAGACTGACAAAATCGGGACATTATTGTATTCCATTTACATTTACATGATTTATCACATATATATGGTCGAAATCTAATAAACAGTTGATCACAATACGAGCCTAAAAGCTGCAGTGACCTAGTGAGCATCATAGCTCGAGTCGTCTGTTAGTATTGTGTATCGCATGGAGAGCCCAACCGATATGCTAGCCTATTAAGACTGCAGTTGGTCAAGGATACCGGTCTTCGATGGTTGAGTCATTAAGATTCTTGTAATCGCCTACGAGTCTGTACTTGATGTCACCGTTCTGCAGTGTCTTAGTAGCTAGATGCACTGGACTTGAATACGGACTTTTCGAAGGTTTTATGTATCCGAGCTCTAAGAACAACTTTAACTCCTTACGAAGCGCTTCGAGCTTATGCGGTGGAAGTCTGCGGAATTTAGAATTACATGGAGGGCCTTCGACCTTGATAGTGTGCTTAACGTTGTGTTTAACCTCTTGATTTGGAAGGCGAGGTCTAGTGACGTCAGAGTATTCGCTTAATAAGCCGCCATAGTCGTTGCTGCCGGAAAAAGCATTCAAGCCAAATAGCCCTTCTGCGATCAAATTGATTTGACCGCGTGCTTTTATATTTGTCATTTTATCTATTAGGCACTCACCCCGCAAGTCCACTATCAGGCCATAGTGTTTCAGAAAATTCGCACCTAGTATTGGGGTCGTTACATCAGCCAGTATGAACCGCCATGGGAAATTCCTGCGTAGATCGAAAGTTGGCCTGCAAATTTCGGTGCCGTAAGTCGCGATGCGGGAACCGTTGGCTGCGTACAACCCCATTCTTGGAGTCGGTTTAAGTTTCTGGCACGGTGAACATGACAGAACCGATAAGTCTGCGCCGGTATCAATCAAAAACTTGTAGTTAGTGGCCGAATCGTGAATTGTTAGACGGGATTGACCAACTTCGCCACATTCGCCCGTCGTCGTTTGTAGCTGCGCTAGTTTTTTGATTTGAACTGACAAGGCTCTCGACAATTCTTAGCATTGGATCCGAACTTTCTGTGGTAGAAATAATACGGATGGTACTCTCGGGAGCCGCTTGGGGAACTCTGCTGTCTGCTGAAACTCCTGTTACGAGGTCTGCTTCTCTCTCGACGGAAAGCGGCTAGCTCGTTTGAGAGTTCGGAAATGTGTGTACGTAGTTCTGCCAAGCCAATCTCTTTGCTTCTGTCCGGTGAAACTGTAGCGGAAGAAACGATTTGACTCCTGGTGATGTCTGCGAGCTTGTCGGCTTGCTCGGCAAGCTGCGACATTTGAAGTGTGGCTTCTGACACTTTAAGAACGGCTTGCGTGGTTTCGGGAAGTTGCTGCATCCATAGCGATTTGATAATTTTTTCGTCGGTGATAACGTCCCTGGCAAGATCCCTCATTTCGCGTAGAAGCTGCGATGGTTTGCGATCACCCAGCTCGCAGCCGCGTAGTAGCTGCTGCATGCGATTTTGTTCACTTGTGCTATATTCCTGGGTAATTCTTTCCTTAATTTTAGTATACTTGGCATCAGCTGGAGGGTCACGAATAATGTCCGAACAGCATGCGAGGATCTCCGAGTCGATGGCTGCCAGAACGTGGTAATAGCGAGTATCTTCTCGAGTTATTCCGGCTAGCGTAAATTGTGCTTCGAGCTGCGCAAACCATAGAGTCGGATCACGCTTCCAGAAAGGTTCAATTTTGATGCCGAGTTTGTTTACTGCAATTGCACTGCCGGCAGCGTTGCTCGTAGCAGCAGCATTGTTTGCAGCGGTTGCTTGTGCTGCTTGCAACTCTTCTTGTAGACGGATAATTTCATTTTTCAGGAGTTGTTCATTCGACATCTTTTGTGTGCTGCTAATGGGCGCCTTGGCGAAGTTTCGATGTGTGGCAGTCCGGATGCAGTCGGAATGAAACGATAAGAAAAAATCGACAAAAATCGACATACGAAATTAAACGTCGAAGGATTAATGGTTGAAATACTGAAGTGGATTTTATTCATGAGTTAACAACGCAAATACAAAATGGAAACTGAACTTGTTAGAGCAAGTCAATAATGGTTCTCTCTTTTTAAATCTAGGTGGCGTCGTTGAATACAGTGTTGCCAGTGTGACTGTAAAGTATAGCGCACCACAAATGTATGGACTTGTGTAAATTCTTTACACTCGTCTTCTTTATAGTTTTTCTTGCAAGTATCAAGCTCAAAAATAGCATATTCACAATTTCTTCCAATTTGTGCTACCTGTTTTTGAAGGAAGTCTCCTCCGAGTATACATGGTACTAATAAATGTGTCATTAAATGAAATTTTGCTGGGAATACTATGTTTCCTATGATTAAACCTATATTAACTGATCCCATTGTTTTTGTATTTCTACCAATTCCTGCTATTGTTATAGTATCATTTGTATTTACTTGGTCTATTCTTAGCGATTTGACTGCTTCATATCTGAGCAGATTTACTGATGAACCTGTATCGAGTAAACATCTCAGTCTATATGCAGGGTTATTAGTTGTAGATATCTCGACAAAAAATAAGTTATCTCTAGAATAGATTTTTTTAAGTGCTATTTTATTTGATATTATATTATAAAGGGTTGATTCGTTGTTATTATATTGCTTATTTTTATTTTGTTTCCCCATTAGTGCATGAAAATTGAATTCTATTTCATGACTATTTTTACTTGAAAGCTCCTTATTTCTCTCAATTATATTCTCATCCGCTGTAATTCCTACTATGTCCTTTTAAAAAAAACGTATGGTTCAATTTCCACATATCGTTTAATATCTTTTACACTACTTTCTCTACGTATATAATCAATATATTCTTTATTTATACGATGAGAGAAGCTTTTGAAGATTGTAAATCTGAAGCTCCCACCTATACTTTCGATATGATCTCTTGCGAATGCTGTGCCTATCGTGGCTGGTACAGCTAAATTATGAACTAAGTTAAATTTTATTGGTATGTTACTTCTGCCTATTTTTAAATTGACCCAAATGTCTCCAAATGATTCTTCTTCTTCTCCGTCTATCTCTGTATATGCCACACTAAGTGGGTTTATCATTTTTGCTCCCACTTTCAATGCTATGCTTTTATGCATAACATTTTCGGTTTTACTTGTGTTAAAATAGTATCTGCAAAAGAACTCCGGGTTTTCTGCTGTTCACATATACCAGTAGAAATCCCCGTTATTTCCGCCGAACATTGGATATTTATGCTTTGTTGTAATGATTGGGTCAAATTTTATACCAGCGTGAAAACATTGGGAATTTGTAACATGTGTCTTTCCAGGATTCCTGAATTTTAGTTTTTTTTTTTTTCTTGTGTTGAAATTATCTCTGATACTGAAATTCTCTCTGCGGTTTTCGTCATTGTATCTATTGCTGTATTCAGCTTGGTAATTTCTGTTGTAGTTTCCGTTATTATTCCTGTTGTAATTGTCTGACCTATTCGGTGAATTATTGTTATTCATATTTCTGCTAAAATTATTACTTTCTTGGTATTCGTAACTCGTGCCCCTGTAACCATTTTGATTTCCATTGAACGGCCTTTGATTAGACCTAACGGAATTATTCGGAAAATTTCTATGAGGTCTGAATTTTCTATCAAACGAATTAACCACTTCATTCGAGCAGTTAAAATGACATTTACTACCACTCGACCTTTAAATAAAACATTATTTTGAGATTTTTTCTTCTAGAACCTCGAGAAAAGTAGCCAAAATTTGTGCGTTTCATAAAAAAATAGAAATTAGTTGGTCAAGTTTTGTGAAATCGCTGATAGAAAGTCAAGCCAAAACTGCTTGACAAAGTGGTCAATTGTTTTGTTGATGGTTTCGTTGATACTGGTTAAAATATTTGGGTTGATTGACATGATTATCCCAATCATTTCGGTTCCTTTGTGATTTTGATTTTTCAACAATGTGAATACACTGAAGTCTTTTTTCGATATCCTCAATTTGTTCTTCGTCGATACACACTTCCTGTAAATATTTGACTAGTTCATTGAAGTTGTTATTTTTCTGTGATTTTGCCATATTTTTCAAGTTCCTATTTTTCAAACCTCCCAAAAAATGTATCCTCAAACTCCGTAGTGCATATGACTCTCTGCCTTTGGCATTATTTTCTTCATATTCATCCACGTGTTCTTTTAATGTTAATGCCTTATCTTTGTAATTTTGAAAGGATTCGTTTGGTCCTTGCTCTAAAGTTTCGATTTTCTGAAAAACTTCTTCCAGTTTAACATTTGTCCCAAATTCTCTTTCGAGATTGGTTCTCACTTCGACCCATGTTTCCGCATAAATGCGTTTGAAATACCCTGATGCCGGATCCTTCAATTTCATCAAAATTACCTGAATTAAAGGTTCATGCGATTCTTCTACTGGCAATTTCTTAGCGAAGAAATCACACTGGTATAGAAACGATGGTAATTCTGAGGCCGCGCCTCTGAACTCTGGAATGCATTGAATAGCTCTTTCAGTTGAGAACTCTGCCATTTTTGTTTGTTTTTCGAAGCAATCGAGTAAAAATGCGACTGTTTCTCAGTCCCTTATTAATTTATGGATATTGGTATTATCTTGCCTTTACGCGAATTTAATTGGATCAAAAACGCTTTCAGCGTAAATTCAAGATTAACAAAATGAAATTTTTTTTTCATGTTTTGTGCTTTGTTAAACGAATTTGCCTGTTGGCCTTTTGAATTTGTTTAAATTAATTTAACGTTCCCTTAAAGTTGTTGATTAAGAAAAGGATAATAATTACACCGCAAAAAAATCTGAATTTTACTTGTGATGTAAACATTGATGAGTGAAACTTATATTTCATATCACGCAATCCAGCATCTTGCAAGAAATATTGCTTACAAAGATGAAATGTACAATATTTATAATATTGTATGAAATGTATCAGAACTTTAATCAATTTATAATGTTCACTTGTATGATATGAGACGCTCCATTTATGTGTATCTAGAATAGAACCTTACACATTTTTTTTAACTGTGTACTCACCCTATCAGGAGCAGGATCAGGATCATTCCTTGTTGAGTCTGCGATGAACTTCCCAGATGAAGTCCCCATATCTTTATAGTTGACCCGAAGTGCACCAATGTTATTTATATTAACCACTAGTTCAATCACTAGTTCACTTTTTTTCTTTTTTGTAATTTAATCAATGTCACTTTTCGGTTTCTTTTTTTTTTTTTTTTTTGATAATTAACACTTACTGCCAGTCTAAATTTTGGCGTTCCAACACTTGAAAATAGCGGTTTAGTCTCCGCTGTCACCAGATCGAGGAATTTGAGGCCTTTGCACTCGGTATCAATATTCGGCGACTGTGTTAGGGAAACCACTTTTCTCATTTTGCATTTTCGATGATTATTAAATAAATAATAAAAAAGCGAAAATTGATATGTTGTTTGGAATGATGGTGACGCGCTTGGTAAAGATGACCAACAGCGATTCATGAAGAGCTACTGAATCCGATCAGCAGCGGTGCGGCTTCTTCCTCCATCTTAGGTGAACAGACTCATGTGGGCTGCTTCTCGCTGCTTGCGGGCAGGCTCTCCGTGTGTACTGGAGCACAATGTTCAACGCCATGCACCGAAAGCACTGATTTGCTACTGCTGCTGATGACGACCGATTGAACACCACTACCCACGGCAATTTAATAAGCACCGTTCTGTACTGAATCATTGTGAAAAGTTTGTAATCATTTCTGCAAGAAATGAATCGTTTCGAAAATAATTGAATCACTTTGAATGCAATGAATCACGTCAGAAATGTTTGGAATCACTTCGAAAAATACTAACTAACTTCAGGAATGTTTGCAATCACTTCGAAAGTACTGAATCACTTCAGAAAAGTTTGGAATCACTCCGGAAAGTATTGAATCAATCCAGAAAGTTTGTAATCACTTCCGCAAAAACTTTGTCGGATAACTGCCCACCCGTTTTCATTCCTTCCTCCGCAAGACCTTCACCATATAACGTTTCCCTTCTATATAAAGCCAGGAATCCTTATTGCCGGGGTAACGGAGGCGTGAATAAGGAACCGCGAATAAGGATACCCACAGCTTATGTGATTTTCATTAATGGGAGCTGTGGTGGATTATCTCATTTGTTTCAATATATAAAGCTATACTATCTTCGACAAAGTTGTTGTACTGGGATAGACCAACAAGCATGTGTCATTGGATTCAGGTTTAATTGCGAACTGCACCGCTAGAGGCGCTTCACTTTTATGTTACTTATGACGGGTGCTATAATATATGGATCTTAGAACCAACATAGAATATTTCGTGATCCTGGCCATACAGAAAGTTTCTGTTATCAGCAAAGTTGTTCAAGTGACCAAGTCCTTTCGGATGGTGGTCATATTAGTTCAGAACTCTCTCACTACGCAGCGCTAGTGTGCACATGAGCTTCCTGTATAAGCTGTATCTCAAAATCCTGGTTACTTTCTCGAGCAAAGTTGTTCAGGTGATCATGCTCTTTTGTATCGTGGTCATATAAGTTCAGAACACTTTGTAACGTTTTACGTTTATTTGGAAATAGTATTTCGTCGAAATCTAATTTAATTAACAATTAAATCCTTCTTATGTCAAGTTTGCTAAGAAATGAAATATTTCAACCGTGTAAATAAAATCAGACCATTACTGTGTCGATTTTACAACTTTGCCATATTTACTGTGTCTAGGCTACAACTTCGCCATAAAAGCTCAACTTATAGTGAGCTATATTATATTGTACATGCTTTCTGGAGGCGCCATGAAGTCCGTCGCCATTCGAAAGGTTTGGCGCAACTCTCGAATAAAGAGGAAGTTTTTAAAAGATGACCTAAAGGGTGATACGGTCAAAATTTGGTCAAGGGAAAACGCGTGTAAATCGGTGAAATCGTTTATTTAAAAAATCAAATTAAATTTCTTTTTCAAGTTCAATTAGTATAAAATTCAGGAAAAATATTCAGTTAGGCTTCCGCTTTTCCAAATCCGAATTGCCGGGCCTTACGCTTGACCCCTGCCATCAGATTTTGTACAGCCACCTTGTCCACCTTCTTCGCCGCAGAAAGCCAGTTTGCCTTGAACTGCTGCTCGCCCTTAGCAGTTTTTTTGGTCTTCTTTAGGTTCCGCTTGACAATAGCCCAGTATTTCTCAATTGGGCGGAGCTCTGGCGTGTTGGGAGGGTTCTTGTCCTTGGGAACCACCTGCACGTTGTTGGCGGCGTACCACTCCATGGCCTTTTTACCGTAATGGCAAGATGCCAAATCCGGCCAAAACAGTACGGAACAACCGTTTTTCTTCAGGAAAGGCAGCAGACGTTTATTCAAACACTCTTTCACGTAAATTTCTTGGTTGACAGTCCCGGAAGCTATGAAAATGCTGCTTTTCAATCCACAGGTACAGATGGCTTGCCAAACCAGATATTTCTTTGCGAACTTTGACAGTTTCATGTGCTTGAAAACATCTGCTACCTTTCCCCTTCCTTTTGCCGTATAAAACTCCTCTCCCGGAAGCTGCTTGTAGTCGGCTTTGACGTAGGTTTCGTCGTCCATTACCACGCAGTCAAACTTCGTCAGCATCGTCGTGTACAGCCTCCGGGATCGCGCTTTGGCCGTCGTATTTTGTTTATCATCGCGATTTGGAGTCACTACCTTCTTGTAAGTCGATAGTCCGGCTCGTTTTTTGGCTCGATGCACG